CAGCAGGAGCCTTTTTCTTGGTTTCTGCCGCAGCAGGAACCTTTTTCTTCTCTTGAACGCTGTCCATGGTTCCAGCCGGAAAAGAGCTCCACCTAGAATTTTAAGATAATTTGTTCCCTGTTCTTTGTTTCCTCACCGTGTTGCCAGAGTTTGCAGAATATGAGTACAGTTGTCCTTACTTCACAAGTGAGATAGCTGAGGAGTGCATTTTGAGAAGCTGCAGACCACTCAGAGAGTCTTCTAGAGCTGGGATTAGAATCAGTGCTAGGCCGACTTGTTCTCTTTCAAGCAGTAATATTTGAGCCCTTTTTCCAAGATACAATTAAGGTTCGTGGTCCTACAGAACAGGTACGGTTAGGGTGCGTAGTCCTACAGAACACACATGATTAGGGTGCGAAGTCCTACAGAACACATGTGGTTAGGGAGCATAGTCCTACAGAACAGATATGGTTAGGGGTGTCCTACAGAAGGATATGGTTGGGGTGCGTAGTATCTACAGAACAGATACCGTTAGGTGTGTAAGTCCTACGGAACAGATAGGGTAGGACGCGTAGTCCCACAGAACAGATACAATTAGGTGTGTAAGTCCTATGGAACAGGTAGGGTTAGGGCGCGTAGTCCCACAGAACAGATACAGTTAGGTGTGTAAGTCCTATGGAACAGGTAGGTTAGGGCGCGTAGTCCCACAGAACAGATACAGTTAGGTGTGTAAGTCCTATGGAACAGGTAGGTTAGGGCGCGTAGTCCCACAGAACAGATACAGTTAGGTGTGTAAGTCCTACGGAACAGGTAGGGTTAGGGCGCGTAGTCCCACAGAACAGATACAGTTGGGGAGTATGGGTTCTACAGAACAGATAGGGCCAGAGTGCGCAGTCTTGCAGAACACATGTGGTTAAGAGTGTAAGACCTACGGAACAGGTAGGGTTAGGTTCGTAGCTTGATGGCTTCGCACCTGTGCACATCCATTCGGCCGCCACTTCCAGAATTCACAGGCTTTCTGCTGCTGATCTCAGTGTTCCGGTGCCGCCTCCCTCCCCATGTTCAGCACTACTCTGACTTTGTAGTTCTTGACCCTAACAGAGATGGAATCACATGATCATCTTTTGTGTCTGCTTTTCTTCACTCAGTACCTGTTAGGTCCATCCAGTCTGTTTGCTCTTTCTGACGCGAGGTAGTATTCCTTTGAAGATGCCACGGTGGCCTCATCCCTTCCCTGGGGGGCGTTTCTGTTAGAGGCCATAGTGACAGCGTGCCGAGGCTGTCCGTGCGTGGCTGTCGGTCCTTGGTGATAGCTTGTCTGTAGCGCACACTGGCCTGAGAGGGCCACACTCCCCCAGGGTGTACGTGGACTTCACCTCACACCCCTCCCAGGCATTCCT